TGTGTTCACCGTGAGTGCCTTGCAAGAAGCAAGTTCTGTTCTCCCTCAGACGTAGCCCCTGATTTTTCGGGATCAATATTTCTTATTTATTTGTCTTTTGTTCATTGATTGCCCTTCTGTATTCTGTTAGTGTTGCATTCATTTTGTAATTTAGTAATTTTATTATTAACTTGATCATGAGTTTAAAAAAACACAGCAGCCACAGACTTAACTATGTGAATTACATTTTTGCTTTTAATATCATGCATATTTGTCTTTTGATGTTGTTCCTAGAAACTTAAGTCTTACACTGAATCTATAACGTGATTTTGCTTTGAGACCAAAATATTGTCATAAAATTATTAAAACAGAACTTGCATTTTCAGTTTAAGAAAGGGTCTGGGGAACACCCAGAAGGCATGATTTTGCATCATTTGTTCTATAGCTTCTTGGGCCTTCAGCGGTTCAAAAACCCTTCAAAAAAAATTTTGCCTCGCTCCGCTCGGCGAAACACGTTTGCCAATACTTTTAGAAGAGCCTTAGTTTCAACCAAACCTTAATACTGTGTATGTATGCAATACATGTATATGCATTGGGGGATATAAAAAGATTCATTTCTGCAGAGGATAATAATTAATTCTGATTAAATGGTACATAATGACTTGACTATACATGAATTATTTATAATAAACAAATAATTTAAAAATTGTATGTTTTCGAATATTATAAATATAGTTGTGAAAATAAATAATCAGTCCCTTGCTTTAATGAAAATGAAAAATCTTGCTTCAATAGTGCAGAAAATAGATAATCTGTCCTCTTAGTTTACAAAAATAAATAACCGATCCACAACAAATCCTCCTGCCCCCCCCCCCCCCCCCCAGAATATCAAATGGTCGTCCCCTTAATTTTATATGATAGTCCCACAAAAATGTTGAAAATGTGTACATTTAATTTTTTTTCTAGATTCTCTCATGTCTTGCATGTGAAAGCGGTTCCTTTTTGGTCACTATTTATGTGTTGCGTCTTAATATGAATTGTAACACTTTATAGTGACTGACCAGGTCAAACAAATACTTCTCAAGAAACATGCAGCAAAAGAAGACAACTTGGAACAGCACCAGCCATGCCAGACTATGTAGGAATAAAAACTCAAATCGGAATAGCATGGACGATATGTAAGTGATATGTCCTTGTGAATAGTAAGGAAAGCTATCAATAATTCCGCAATTTTATCAGGTTTATCGTACATTTTCTGTTCACATTTTCACACAATCAGTGAATCGTTCAAAAAGGCTAAACTAACGTTTTATTACCAGCTGATTACTGTGAAAGTTTCAAACAATGACAAGTGTTTCATTCATGAAATAACGTGTGCGTTTCTGTGAAAAAAATCATGTGCAATTTTGTGAATTAAAGGGAAAGAAGATCCTTTTGCGGTGCACTTGTGCATGTCAATTGCGAACTAACCCAGTATATTTTCTTTATCATGACCAGTCCACTGATAATGACGTCAACATTATCAAGGACAAGGAGTATACACATCAAAGGAAAAATGCACAAATTACCGATAAAATGAATTACACACACTGTTTCGTGTGTATCACCTCCCATATCAGTATTTGTTGCATTTATATATACATGAGAAATAATCAATGTAAAAATGGTAAATTTTTGGAGAAAAAACCCAAAAATTATGGAAAAAAAACAACCCAAAAATGTTGTTTTTGACCACTGACTCCTAAACTGTTGGTACCATATCCCCCAAAATCAATTCTAACATTCCTTTTGTGTATTGAACCTTCTGGTACAATTTCATACATTGTCATAGAGATCCATTTACTTAAACTAAAGTTATTGTCCGGAAACCAAATGTGTCTTCGGACAGCAACAGCGACATGATAGCATTACTCGAAAGCAAATTTTTGACATATTCCCCATTTCGATTCTCAATTTTATATTGCCGTCGTATAAAAACTTGAAAAGTAAGCTAATAAAACAAATTATGCAAGAAATGACATAAAACCGACTCTGAATTAGTACATGAAATTGATGTAGAAACGGCCACAAAAAGAAGATGATCAGGAATACATTTATACTGCTGAGCAGTGTTCTCCCCTCAAATTTTAAATAGCATCCTAGAAAATAGACGAATCTTTAGATTATCAACTTAACAATCCTATTTATGGTTCCTTATATGCTTAGATGAAAATAAAAAAACCTGATCAAAACATTATTCTAAGCAGGCTCACTGTAAATTCAAACTCTTCTTTTAACAATCAGAATGATCCTCTTATATGAGATGCAGGAAACTGGGAATACAATATGAACAACCAGCTAATTTAGAAAGTAAAAATAATTCAACAAACAGAAAGCATTGTTTGCAATACTAAATAAAAAAAACGCTACAACTTTTAGATATTGATGAAAAAGATATTCCAAATCCTCCACCTTTTCATGAAAATCAACAAAAAATTAATTTAATAAAGTTATGGATTGTATAACTGTACAGTATTCATAGTTTTGAAATTAAACAAATGTCTTATTGTTTTAAATTTTAAAAAATTTGCAAAGAAAGAAAAATGGATATGAAAATGCACAAGATAATGAATGTAAGCATTGTCATTTATATAAATCACCAATAAATTCATTTTCAGCAGAAAACAATAAGGGAGCAACCATTTAGCTTCAAAGGGGGGTATGGTTTTTTGTTTGAGTCAGATTTTTTACACGTGAAGCACTTCAATGCTATCAATCAAAATTATTTAGTCAAAATATAAACACTAGAAGGTATGGGGAAAATCTGGATTCAGAATATTTTTTTTTTGTCCTCTGCTTGAACAGAGTATTTTTGTCATCAATTTTTAAAGAAAAATACTAGTCCAAATAATTATGACGTCCAGGAAGGCTATTTTAAATTTTTGCTTTGATGCTTCCTGCGACACACCAAAAAAAAATACCATACCTCCTTCTGCCTTTTGAAGTTCAATGATCTTTCCCTAAACATTTTCCATCTAAACTTATTATTTTATTTTAGACAAAAACTATATGTAGGACATTCGTCCTGAACATGCATGAAATATTTGCCACTGGGCGTTAAGCAAACCAACAATCAATCAATATGTAGGACATAGTTTTGGTAAGCTGGCATTCAAGGTAGCGCCTTCCTCATATTATAGAATAATGTATACCTACAGCGTTATTATAATTGGCAGTGTCTGCGCGTACCCGCATGCGGGTACGAATACATTCATAGGCTACGCGTACCCACATCCGGTTTTATAATAAAATGCCATCGGATTGGAAATGAAACGTGAAATATATACGGAATTTGTCGCAATTAGTGAATAAATTGATTAAAACTACTTAGAATTTTTATAAATATTTATATATAGGTAAGTGAACAGTTTTTCTCAGTAAATAAATATTCTTAAAATGGAAGAGAGTGTTATACACGTGGGGAAGACGAAAGAAGAGAATCATGCGAATGGATATGTATCAAATGTAAAAAAAAACCTACACGATCAGGACTCTTTGGCCTGTGATTGTTGTTTGGACTGGCAACATTTGAAATGTGCAGGGTTGAAATATGTGCCAAAACAATCATATTGGATATGTAAATTTTGTTCCAAATCTTAATTAGTTTCATGAATCTTTTATAATTGGTTTAATTTGACATTATTACTTGCTTCTTTAATTTTTATATAGACACCCAAGCTTTAATTTTAGTCGTTTTAATGAGATATTTTAAAATTTCAGTTTTACTAAATTTTACTAAAAGATTATTTTTAAATCTCATATGGGTATTTTTCAAAATCAGTTAAATTTTATTCTTTAAATTTGCATTTATGTGGTAGAGACGATTTCCATTGATTTTATTATTTTAATCACTTCTCTTTATAGTTTATCATTATTACTTATTGATCAGTTTATCTATGTATTATTTAATCATTAGAGTATTTAGTATTAATCAGCTGTGCTTGACCGCACATTGGTAACTGTTTCTACCTGTGCAATTTATATATCATTAATTAGAAAGCTTAGGTGAATTTCTCTGTGGTCAGAATTATCTGTGTTCTCATTGGTTAATTGGGACATACCCCCAGATTTGAAATGGGTATTGTTTGAGAAAAATGGAGAATTTATATTTACTCTAGTTTACGCTATATCTATATGGTTTGGAACTAAATGATATTTCATTGATAGTCATTTGCAGTATTTTGGACATATGGAATTTAGTATATTCACTTTATAAGGACCCATTGATCATACAGACATATATTTGATGATAGATGTAGAGCATTGGTTATAATGCTATTGTTATGCTGTTGATGTTGTGTATAGCCTGATTCCACAAATTGGGTTGTATTTTTATATTTCCTGAATATCAATAAAGTATGAAGAACCCTAAACAGAGTGTTGTTATACGAGCATAAAAAAACACCCTGTTATATTTACATTTCATAATAGTATGAATTTTTATCATGTTTTACTATTACAGGGACTGTACAGTTTCATTTTCCATCAGTGTGCATTTAATTTGCAATGTTTATCATGTATCATTATCTAATAAATACAATTTGAAAATATTATTTTTCATACTCTTCACTCGTTCATCACGAAATCCCCATATTATCGATAATTTTCGTATATATTTCACGTTTCATTCCCGATCCGATGGCATTTTATTATAAAACCGGATCCGTGGGTACGCGTAGCCTATGAATGGCAATTTGACTATTCGTACCCGCATGCGGGTACGCGCAGACACTGCCATTATAATTTACACAAAATAAAACTAAATAAGTAAACAAATCGGAAACCATGACCAACTGTGGTCAAATACATTTAAATTCATCGTAGATTTAATGCAATATGAAAGTAGCTCGAAATATTTTTGAAAACATCGAAACTTGTTTTGTTTAAAACGCAACAAAGTTTTAGCAGTTGGTAAACATGATAAATACTAATGGTCGTTATGGTAACATATAAATAAATTGAAAATTTCGTAAAATGCTTACCTTTCAAAGTTAATTTAACTTCTGTAAACACATATGTTAACGACCATCACAACAAACACGTACAAACACGATATTTATATTTACTTTAATGCGTTTAAATGTTCACGTGATCATATAAGATCATACAAGGCGCTAATTTTAAAATTTAAAGTTATTTAGAATTTCCATATTACTATCAGTTATTGATCCCAGGACTATGCAAGATCTTGTCTGATCTGTTTTGACTTTGATGAATGTCAAATTTCCTTTCTTTTAATTTCACAAGCAGGTTCGTTTTCAATTGTATTTGAATCAATATTAAAATACAGATAACTGTCAACGTATATTTGTTTAGACTAACAGAAGCTCTTCTGGAAACTTTGTTATAAATAATGCCATGATATGTTCCATTTTGAACACATATTCTATACCTTTGATTCCAATCCAAATTTCCAGTCACATGTTCCATTTCCTAATAATACAATTCGTTTATTAGATTAAATTATAAATCGTGTGTCAAATAGCTTATTTTGACAAAATTGAACCAAACTGACTGTTAAAAGCCAATTATTACTTCACTATTTCACTTTCATTAATGATTGAACAAAACAAAAACTATTTTTTTTTATCTCGTATGCTAATGCTGTCTTTACTACAATTTTTATGGATTTAGATAGTAATTTCCAGGAAGTTTTACACTCCACCTACATATTCGGAAGAAGAATAAAAGAATGGAAACGCCATGAAAAACATTCTATCAACAGTGTGTCTATGTTTAACTTACGGCTCGTCATCATGTAGTATTTTAAAAAAGTTGCAAGTACATTTGATTCATTTTGGTTCGGACGTCCTCTAATGCAAATTATATTTGTTTTAAACAACAAGTGAATTTTTGTAAGTTATTGGAATTATTTTCAACATTAATATACAATATAATAATATTACATAATATTACATATTCTTATTTTAATCATATGAGCAGTCAAAGTAAAATTATCTGGTTATTTAGTGTAGAAAATGTTGAGTTACTTAAAATAATATGTAATTTTATATACAAACATCTTCCTTAGTGAAGATTAGTTAAAGGAAATCTATGTGTGTATATACATTTGATTGGACATAGAAAATTATATTCATCTGAATATCACAAACATACTAGCCGATTAAAAAAAAATAATTGTTAAGATATATTATTTATTCAAATGTTCTCTTATATCCTTGAGGCATCGTCCCCTGGTATCAACTGCATTCAAGTTACCTATGATGCTTCCTTGTTTGCTTTTGATACAGGTAGGAAAGAGACATTTACACACATTTTACATGCCTATGGCCCATAAGGTATCGCCCCCCCTGGTGTCAGCTGCCTTTAGGAAACCATAATGCTTTCCTATTTGCTGCTGACACAGGATGAGTCATGGACATGCTTAATTTCTACTTTCTTTTTGGCTAATTATTATATGTTTAATTGATCCAACTTTTTGTGTATTATACCAGAGACATATATACACATATATATGTCTCTGACTATATATATATGGATATCTATTTTTCTTTTTTTTTTCTTTTTGGGCTGCTTGTTTTTTATCTATCTCAACCACACTTGCAATAAAATGCATTAGTTTTAATAAAAAAACATACTATAGATTCTTTATCTACGTATTCTTTAAGAACTTAAATAGTTCTCGTTTAACTTTTTTTTTTATCTCATTGTTTGTATTGTATTATGAAAAAATTATTGATGTTGTAATGTTTATGCCCTTTGGGGCCCATAATTGGAAATAAAATATCTTATCTTATCTTATCTTATGTACTGTAGACAAACTTCTGTCGAAGTTTTCTGTTTAAAATTTGCATTCAGATTCAGAATTTGAATAAAGTATATTTTTTTCTTTTATTTCGAAAAATGTTAATATAAGATTTGAATGCTGTGTTTCCAAAAATCGCTTTGATTAGTTTACATTGATTTCAGGATTAGATGAACAAACTTTGGTTCGCAAAAAGTAAAATATACCATGAGCTTAGAGGGCGGAAAACATTTCCGTTATATCTCTCACTGAAACCAAAGCGTTCTCTGTTAATCTGGTTTTTCCCATCTTAAAAAATTTCTCAGACATTCATCAGAAATAGTTATCAAAGATAACCGTATTATTCCGGCAAAGTCATATTGGTCTTGATGTATGGTGTCAGTTCTTTAAACCGACTTGGTGTACCCTTTGGGGCTCGTCAACAGGAAAATTAAATTCGATCCCTTTAATATCATTAGGCATCAACCTCAGTATATACACGCATTCACTTTTATCAAGTTATATGTGATGAGTCGAAACATTCTTAATATATACTAGCTGTTTTACAGGTCATCAACATATATAAACAAATATAGTATAAAATGGTTTAGTAGTCTAAGAAACACAAATATAATGTTTTTCGTTTGCTATTTTTTTTCACGATAACTTTAGTAAAAGTATTTGCCCGTAAACCTTAATAATTCATTTATGACTATGAAAATCAATGAGTGAAGAAAATAATGACAAAAATAAAGATCTATTTAAGCATGAACTATAGATAGCATAGTTTGACAGTATATTGTTAAAACTATCTTCTGAGTTAACAAACTGTAGGAACAGTTATGTCTGTCTCATCGTGGCTTTATTTTCATAATAACGGCCTTCAGTGGAGTAAAATCAGGATGCCATGTCCACCAGTAGATAGGATCAGATGGATTAGTGTGATTTACTCCTTGGTAGTATTGACCATTCAGGTTGGCGTCAGTACATGAGTTATGCCACCATCCAGATCTAACACGCGCAGTACAGATCCCGCCATACTGGTCATTATCACGATCATACGTACTGAACTGCATGCCATCTAACTCCTTCCAACTTCGTTCCCCCTTCATGGAATCACCTGAAATTAAATGATCCTATATACTCTGTTTCATTCCAACTGGATTTTTGCAGGTAACTTTGTGTCTTATTACCAAAAGAACCCATACCTCATATAGTAAGGGAACGACCATTTAGCTTCAAAAGGAGGGGGGGTTATGTTTTTTTCCTAAAAAAATATTTTGATCCCCAATTTGATGAAGAAAAAAAATATTGTGGTGAAGCAGATGACAAAAAAAACATATTGTGGTCAAGCAGATGAGAAAAAAAATATACTGAATCCAGATTTCCCCCATCCTGATTGTGTTAATTTTGAAAAAAAAAATTCGATTGATAGTGTCGAAAAACTAAAAAAAAAAAAACGACTCAGACAAAAAACCATACCCTCTTTGAAGTTAAATAGTTGCTCCCTAAGCTGCATCGGTATGACAAAATGTAAAAATAAATCAAACCAGAAAACCAACGACCCGTATTATGTACGAGTAGGGTGTTAAAAATCACGTACCATTATGTACAAGACAAAATACGAAACCTGTTTTAAAAATCGCCAAATAAACTCGTGTTCATATCTTGTTAGTGTCCTCTTGGATATGATCTGTTTTATAAAAAATAGGTATTCATGGAAAGCCCACATGGAACATAAAACAACATTGATATATTATTTTACTTAAAATTCTGATATATAAAAGAGAGGCGAAAGATACCAAAGAGAGTCAGATATTCAAACTCATAAGTCGAAAATAAATTGACAACGACATGGCAAAAAAGGAATAAAACCAAAAGACAAACAACAGTATACAAAACACAACATAGAAAACTATAGATTGAGCAACACGAACACCACTAAAAACCAGTGGCGACCTCAGGTGCTCCGTAATAGTAAGCAGATCCTGCTCCACACTATAATTATATAAAAAATCTTTTTTTCAATTGTTTGTTTTAATTCTAAGAATGATAACTGATTTAAGATTAAAGATTATGAGGTAGAACATAGTCAATGGTTTGCCTTAGTAGCTGCCTGAAATAAGAATAAGGGGCTCTGAGAATTGTAAGTATTAAATCCCAATAGATATAGGAAGATGTGGTATGAGTGCCAATGAGACAACTCTCCATCCAAGTTACAATTTATAAAAGTAAACCATTATAGTGTATTAGTTGTTCACTTAGTATCGTTAGAAATGCGTAGTCATATGAGGCTTTTACGGAAAAGTGCGCACACCAACAAATTACATAAAAATCAAATAACAAAAATACCGAACTCCGAGGAAAATTCTAAACGGAAAGTCCATAGGCAGTAAATTTCACTTAGATGCAGTATGTAAAAGCAGGGGCGTTTCCAGGATATTTGAAAGAGGGGGCGTAGAATACAATCTGTCGCCGAGCGGAGCGAGGCGTAGCGAGGCGGAAATTTTTTTGACTAAAAAACATAAAATAATTGTGAAATGCACTAATATAACGGTTCTTTGACTTGGAGCATGTATATTTTATAGTTAAAGTGTCAGGGTTTGATATTTTTTATGCCAAATTCTCTCCATTAATTGTCTATGGTATATTAAAATGATTGGATGGATCTTAACGGCAGTAGACCAATAACGAGAAATTCCAAATTCTAGGGTATAGGACGTTACTTTACATTTCAATAGTCCTAGGCCAGGATTTTATGAACAGGAGGCGTAATTCCGGTTGCCCTGGTATAGGGTCCATGGGGAAGGTCAGAAGCTCCTGGATTTCAACAACTCCTGGATTTCAACAATTTAGCATCAAATTATGAAGTATTATAACAGACTCCATGATAGACAAATTGGTGAAAATAGTCTGCCTTCGGATCATTCAAATTATGTATTGATTAACATGTGGATATCAAATCTTTGGAAGAAGTTATAAACTCAGTTAAAAGGTTATGAAATGGGCATGAAAAATGGAAAATAAATCTTTAACGATAGCTTTTTCTGAACTTTTGATATATATATATACCCGTTTTGTTAAATATACCTTTTCACTGTTTTGGTCTTTTGGAAAATGTTTGTTTGTGCTGTATTTAGACCCATTTACCAAGAAATTTGTTTTGCATGCACACGTATAAAAATTGCGGTTTTTATCCAACGCAATCATAGGTTTGAACGTTGTTTTCAATTTAGTAGATATAAAAAGATGTGGTATGAGTGCCAATGAGACAACTCTCCATCCAAGTCACAATTTATAAAAGTAAACCATTATAGGTCAAAGTACGGTCTTCAACACGGAGCCTTGGCTCACACCGAACAGCAAGCTATAAAGGACCCCAAAAATTACTAGTGTTAAACCATTCAAACGGGAAAACCAACGGTCTAATCTATATAAGAAACACTTACGAACCACATCAACAAACGACAACTACTAAACATCAGATTCCTGACTTAGGATAGGTGCAAACAGTTGCAGCGGGTTTAAACGTTTTAATGGTACCAAACATTCACCCTTATCTGAAACAATAGTGTAACATTGTATTTATAATACCCCGTTCTAGATAGTCAAATCTGACCCCTTCCAATGCAAGGCGAAAAAAACATAACCCCATTTCAGACAATTTAGCTGAAAATGCAACCCCGTTTGTCGGAACATACCCGGTATCATATATATAGCGAGTATCCCCCGGGTAGATGTAGAATGGCCATTGGGGAAGTGTCACACAAAACAACCATTTCATGTATAGATTTACTTACCGCTTTGGTTGTTTAAAAAAGGTGTCCAAGTCACCCATCGGATGGGGGAATCAATATAAAAGAAATCAGAGTATGTGTTTAATTAATGAATATGATAAATTGCCATATTCAATACAATATAAGCAGATAACAATAGTTTTTTTTCTTTTTTTTTTTTAAAGGGGGGGGGGGGGGGGCGTACGCCCATTACGCCCTTACCTGGACCCGCCCCTGAAAAGTACTCAAAGCGAGATGTTGTGGGCAATTGTTTTAGATGCAAACAATAGCTATATTCTCAAAATGTAATACGTAAATGGTTTAGTATGTCTGATTTTGTTAGAGATGGACTAAAAATATTTTTGGACTTTTCAAAATAAACTTGCACTAGTATACAATGCGATTGTAGTATACCAAGGTAGGTTCTAACATCATAAGTCCAGACAAACCCAAACACATTCATGGTGAATAAAGTCGGAATCGAATGAACTATTTAAGCGAAACCAGATAAACAGTAGCCACTACAGTAACGCCATTTCCAGTGTATATAAAGTGCGAATCCAGTTAGTTCATTTTCACTGTCGTATGCGAGTATTACTATCGTAGAATAAAGGATGATGGGAAAAAACTGCGTTTGTTTACTTTTTGAAAATACAAAATAATTGATTTGAATGTATGTTTTAACATTATTTCATTAGAATATAAATTTTAATGTATATTAACAGGATTAAAGTCCAAAAAAGTGTAATTAAAGCAGCTGAATTCATAATATTGATTACTGTAATTGCGATCATTTCTGATGTGGAATTTTTGGAGGTGCGATGAATTTTCATTGTTGTTTATATGTTAATTCGACATGCAACAACTGAAAATAGTCATTTAATGACTTTAATATTGATGATTTTTACAATTTGAAAGCTAGTTGTAGATGCTTACTTGAAACAAAACTTTACGACAAAAGAGATGATTTCAGCTTCCCAATTGTGAACTTTCCATTTCTATGTAGCAACATTCCAGCAGCGCCTGCATACGGAGTATATATCTCCCAATTGATACGATATTCCCGGGCTTGTATTTCCTATCATGATTTCCTTGATAGAGGATTACTGCTCTCAAGGAAGCTATTAAACCAAGAGTTCCAAATGGTGAAGTTGAAATCATCCCTTTGTAAATTTTACGGACGCCATCACGAGTTAGTTTACCGTTATGGAATAACCGTTTCACAGATGATATCGGATATGTTCCTTATGTCGTAACAACAATACCCTTCCCTTTTCACGAATGTGACCTACCGAATTAGACTATTTACCGGATTTGTAATAACATAAGCAACACGACGGGTGCCACATGTGGAGCAGGATCTGCTTACCCTTCCGGAGCACCTGAGATCACCCCCAGTTTTTGGTGGGGTTCGTGTTGCTTAGTCTTTAGTTTTCTATGTTGTGTAATCTGTACTATTATTTTTCTGTTTGTCTTTTTATGTTTGGCCATGCATGGCGTTGTCAGTTTGTTTTCGATCTATAAGTTTGACTGTCCCTCTGGTATCTTTCGTCCCTCTTTCGAATATACACGGGTATAACCAGTGGTTGATTCCGGACGTTGTGCGTTGTGTACGATTTTTATTTATTTTTTTTGTACGTCCGTTTCGTGTTTTCATCCATGAATTTAACGTATTTTAATGGCGAATTTTCCTTGAAAAGTTTAAGTACTCGCTTAAGGTGGTACATAACACTACAGGGAGATAACTCTGTAAAAATCACATGAACGTTTTATTCACGTTCTATTGTTAGGGAAATATTAAGCTTCTCAATGATCAAAATTAGTGTTTGTCAAACTGCTATATATCCAATGAAATTTTTCCGATGAAGTTTGTGGTTCAAGTTTTTTGAAATTTTTATATTTTTGTCAAAGGGTCAAAGTAAATATTTTGTCAAAATTTTATGAAAATTAAACGAGCCAAATTAATTTTAGTCAAGGTGTTTGGTATCACCTTAAAAAAGCTTTGGAAACTTGTCACGCCGTTTCATACATATTTCTACCATATTGATAGACTTTTGCACATGTAACAAACAGTACAAGAATTTACAACGAACGGTACTAAAGTAAGCAAAAAAAAAACTACAAATAGAATGAATCGTATAGTGCCGAAACTCTGAAGTCAGTTTTTCAAGTAAAAAAATACACGGTCGCATTTAGTGTAAGAGCCAACCAACTAGGCTTCATTTGAAGTAATCAGGTTTGAGTAACACAGAGTGTTTGTTTAGCGATGTTAACAAGCAATTTACAGACCTGTCTATTTAAAATAGTCACAGGGTGTTCATGCAATATAAATAATATACAATGCTGTCAGGAGCAGTAAACTTTGTTTTCATAAACATTGAATACTTTTAAGTTAAAACTGAACAGTACGCCAATTAGTCGTTGGTGAAAATATTAGGACGGTCTATCTACCAACCTGCTTCGCGATTAACGTCCTGAATCAACGGCACGGCAGTAAAACCCCGTGGCATAGAACCATTAAAACACGTAACAATAAAATGTATTCAATATGGCATTGTATTCTTACAATAACTTCGTATTTGCTTATTTGTAACAACAATTTGTAAGAAATACAAACATTATTTAAGGTGACTCGATTGTTGCTCGAACTTTCTTCTTTACAGTATAAGATGTATATACAATGGCATGTGAAATATCAATTATCCAGTCATCAAAGCGTCAAATGTAAGGCACTATTGTTTGTGCGAGATGAAAGCGTTGGTGAAACTGATAACGCCATGTAAAAATAAATCATAAAAACAAACAACAGTATACAAAACACAACATAGAAAACTGAAGACTTGGTAGCATGAACCCCACCAAAATCCGGGGTGATTTCAGGTACTCCGAAAGGGTACGCAGATCCTGTTCCACATGGAAGATCCATAAAAGGGACAACATATACTAAGCATGTTAAGAGGCTGAAACACTGTAACAATCAAACAAATTTGACATCGATAGCAAAACTTGTGTTTCTTAAGCTTGTCATTAATCTAATTCAAACTCCTTAATACCTTGAACTTAAAGTTCATCGGTTTCAATATAAAATTTCATATCAAACAAGTAAACAGACAGAAAATGTTCAGTTTATAATATTGTGCCTGGTTTTAATTGCAGTAAATGAGTTTGTTACAGAAAACTCCATCTGTGTTTATTAGTTTAAGAAAATGATTTTCTTATAGATTCACACTGTAGTTTGAATTAAATCGCAACCATTTTTCCAGACTATATCTTAGAAATATAATATGAGGAGGCATTGCATAGAATTCCAAATTAAAATATGAGCATATGATGCTTTATTCTTTCAGTATACAGCTTTATACAAAGATCTATTATATCAAGACGGTAAACACATAGACACTTGCCTCTGTTTAACAAATTATATATATACCTCAATATAACATTATATCAAGTTATATATGAATTTGTAGTTCAGAGACTAGTGCCTGTGGGTAAACCCCGTTAAGATAACCCGATTTTATTTTTCTACACCTACCAGCCGTTCCATTGTAATCACCAATTGATAGCGTATAATTTGTTGCTTCATTTCCTACATGGAAAGTTTTGTACTCTGCATACCGAATCTCGTTTGTCCAGTCTTCCAGGTCTATCCGTAATGTGTAATTCTTTCTAGATAGAATTGTGTGAAGTTTATCATTTCCTGAAACATTAAGATTGTATTCATAATAAAAAAAAATTAATAAGTAGGCCTACCGGTTACAAAAGCTGATCATTTGTTATTTTTATTCACAAAAGAAATAAGAATGATGAATTGGTGTATAACTTCCAGTGGCAGATATTACATGTTGATGATATATGAATCATGCTTTCATATTAGCTGAGTCGGATTATTAGCGTGTTAGACTACAAGGTAATTCATAGTCCGCAGGAAGACATGTATGTTTTAAAACCTACCGGGACACTCCGAGCCGATCAATCTATTCTGTTACTCCTTAAGGCTCGTGCTTAGAAGAGAAGCTGGAAATACAAATGTCCAGTCTTTGGTCTGACCCGGCCTAGTATCCCGCACCCGAGACAAAAATGCTCCCACGGGACCACTGAGGCGGTTCTACGCAAGTTAAGAAAAATATCTCAATCGTCTTGAAATGCAACAAAAAGTATTGCGTGTTCAAACAAATATAAAAAAGCAACCGTAAAGAAGATGTGATTTGCTGCATGTTGCTGTAAAAGGTTGATATAACTCATTTCTCCAATGCAAGACATGCAAATATATATGATATGCAAACGGACTTTATAGTCTGAAAATGTACCAATCGTACAGTTTACTCAGATAAATATAAAAATAAAAAGATGTGGTATGAATGCCCATGAGGCAACTCAACACTAGAGACTGAATGACCTAGAAGTTAACAACAATAGGTCACCGCACGGCCTTCAACAATGAGCAAAACCCATACCGTATAGTCAGCTATAAAAGGTCCCGAAATGACAAATGTAAAACAATTCAAACGAGAAAACTAACGGCCTGAGTTATGTACAAAACAATGAACAAAAACAAATATGATACACAGCAACAAACGACAACTACTGAATTACAGGCTCCTGACTTGGGACATGCACATACAGAATGTGTCGGGGTTAAACTAGTTTGCTGGCGCCACCCTCACCCTCTCTGGGACAGTGATGTAACAGTACAACATTAGAACAAACTATAAAAATCAGTTGAAAAGGGTTTAACTCATCAGATCGATACAAAGCAGAAACATATATAACAAAAACACAGACCGTACGTGGCAGGATATTTATACATCCCCACAACAACAAAAAGACACTAAGTACAGACCTGAGAGTACTCGCAGTTACTGACAGCATGTTCAGAGTTCATAACAATTAATTAAAAAGATCATGCATCTAAGACTAAAATATCAATCAGTACACATCCAACGTCCAATGGATTTAGTGTAAGACGTCGTTAACAGTCAGAGAAAAACATAACCTTGTGCTATGCCAAGATACAGGTATCGACAGATTGTAGAGCCATTAATGTATATAAAAAAAATATTAAGTTTGATTTTCATTTACTGATAACAAAAGCAATACTATTATACCAATGAAAACATATTTAAAGATCTAATTACATGTTGAATTGTAAACCTTTTGGAATAAGTCTATTTTAAGGATCGATAAGTTTACCCAGATCGTATCTAAAATTTCCAGGCTCGGTAAACATCTCCGTAAAAATTAGAATGTGCTATCCCGTTTGAAACAAGTTTTTCTACATGTACAGCCAAACTTCCGAACCAAATCTTTGTATCTATGGAAGAATTTAGTAAAGTTTTTTACGTAATTTGTGGTAACGAAATCCCTGATTTAATAATTTACCAGTAATGCATATATTACGTTAATTGAAATCCAAATCGTCACTACAGACACGGGCATAGCGAACGAGTTGTGATATGCAAACACCGTAAGCTTATAAGCTGTAACTGAAAAAAATATAGAACAAAAAATCTTGAAATGTTCTTGGCATCATGATTAGACATGATAAAATGGCATTCAATACTACTGAAAATACCTTTGCTCTAGGGAGTAGCAAAAATAATATAATCACATTCGTGTCACTTATTACAAGGTATGAATACTATTGAATAGTTTTGCTATTTTTAAAATAAATTTCTACCCAATTCAATAATTCCAACATGGTTCTTCTGATAAACATTGAGCATTGATAAACTGCATTTGGTAGATAAATAATAGAAAGGAAACAATAAAAAACCGATGAAAGGTGGAAAATGACGGAATTGTCAAATAGAAATACTCTGACTAACCAATAAGAATTTTTTTCATGTGGTACGTCTGCATACATGTATGTGGTCATAAAGATGTGAAAACAATACGGTATACGATTAAAACTTACCAATATAGAAGTCTGCAGTAATATCTCCAAAACCTTTTTTGTAATCTGTCCAATTGCGGTAAAAGTCTGTACTGCCATCAATTCTTCTTTGAATCACCTTAAAGTCAAATGCCAATTAGCATAAAAAGTAAAATACACTTCAGTTCAAACTGTATTTTATGGAGATACAAGAAATACCTTCACACTTCCAGGAGTTGCAAAAGTTAATATTTCGTACGTGCAGGAAATGCAAGTAGACATATTTGACCTTATGTAAAAAGCATTTTCTGCAGTATGGCTACATAGATTTTTTACTAAATGCTTGTAATAGATTTCTGTCAATAGTCAGCAAGGATGCAAAATAGGAACATTCAAATCTTTTATGCAGTACAAATAAGTAGAAACAGGACAGGTGCCTCAACCAACAAGGAGAACCAACAGAGGACACTGCTTACATCAAAACTTAAGACTTTACCGGCACAAAATTTCCACTTTAGAGCCAATTTCCTAATGCATGAAGAGTGAGAGTTTGGTTGGCTTGCTTGCCTTGCTTGCTTTGTTTGTATTAATGTTTGCTCAAGCGTTGTAATTAAGATTGACATCTGCAAACAATATAAGTAGACGGAGTTAAACTTGTATATTTTAGCGGCAATAAGTAAAATTAGGCATTAGGCTTAAATCCGAGGCAATAAGCTAAGGCCTAGGCATTAAGTTTTTGCCTGAAATTTTCAAGCATTCAACTTATTTCCTGAAATTTGATGACAATTCAACCTATTGCCAAACCTCATTTCAGACAATAACTAAAAAAAAGTGAACATTGGGATTTTTGTTTTATCTTCCAAGTATATGTACATTCGGTGAAATACTATTGATGTAAAAGTGTTGTTTAAATTATATTTCAAATATTAATATACATTTATTTAACAGATCTTCAAATTTGAGTATTTTTCCATATTCATAACAGAATTAACTTGTATTTCTTTGAGGTATTACAAAAATTAATATGTTTCAAACAAGTGAATGTATCTAATGAAAGGAAGGCGGATGAAAGATTCGATCGGAAAATTATTTGAAGAAAATTTACACTTCACTGGTCGAGCTGGTTTGGTCTGGTCAAAGTAGACAAATGTAGATACGATTTTTTGCTCACATCATCTTTCTATTTATGTTATTGGATATGTAAAAAATACTGTTAAACATTTCGTTAAATACCTCAGGCCTTCTCGTCTTTTTCACTTTTTATTATGGATTGTTAGCATTTAAGTGACATGTCTACTAAAGACAAATTTCTTGAATCTTTGCGGTCTCAATTTGAATTAGGGAGAATAAGGAGCACATACCCAATTCAGCACAATGATCTTTTGACAAGGTTAAACTTTTAACTTTTAGAACCCCTAGAAAAGATGGCAACTATAGACTATTACAATTAACTAGAGGCTCCCACGAGCCTGTGTCGCTCACCTGT